CCCAACCCCGCCGTAAGCCCCCTACAAAATGTGTGGCTATTATGCAATGTTTTAGTCCTACTTTGGTCTTTCTCCCAATATAAATCAAAGAAAAATATTCACATATTATAATATTACATTTTTAAATTGAAGAAAAAAAGTGAAACTTAACCTCTCTTTTTTATGTTTTGTTTTTTGCTGGGATGGGATTTCAAACCTTGGTATGGGAATTGGGAAAAGGGGGAGCCGTAGGGGAACCACCAAGCTTCCCACCACACCAAACGTATAAAATTCATCTATGTTGGTGCCACATAAACACGTGCAATTATATCACACTCTGTTCTCATCTTCCATAGATAGGTTCATTGTGGTCGGAACTTAGGGCGCACTGCAATCACCCCAGGCCTGATTTCATCGAAACGATACCTGCTTAGCAAACAGAACACAGTGATCTATATAATGTTTTTCATGGAATGTTTAGCTCAGCCATTAGAATTAGAATTAGAATCTAACAAGACAAACAACTCAAGACTTGAAATCAATGGAAAAGTTTACCCATTGTCAGCTAAAAAGCTTCTGATGACTATTGGAAGTGCAGCCTCTCCCCGGCAATGATTACCTTTACCTGTAACATGTAATTAACACTAACATTAATTGGCATCTATCCATCTGCCTCCAAATTCAATGAAGTACAACACATGACTAATTATAACACATTGATGAAATCAGCATCCAAAAAATGTTTGGATTTTAAACCTGTAAGATTCCAAAATATCAAAAAAGTGAAAAATAAATAGACTGACCCAAGAAAGAAATTGATAGAAAAGTTATATTTCTGCTCTTTCAGGACAATGTACAAACTCTACGTGTTTACAAGGCTAAATATAAGACTCATATAAAAATTCGTTCGCCGACCCTGTACTAATTGCTCACTCAACTTATATACACCTACCAAGAACTTGCTTGATAAATACCCGTAGTATTATGTGTAAGATTCTACTTGTGCTCTTACAAGTTCCCCATAACCATGAAGCTTACCATGGCTCCTAGCCTCGTACCTCCTATTTATATGAATCAATAAATATCAAAATGATAATCCCTTCATCCCAAATTAATTTGTTCACTTTGACTTCACAAAGATTAAAAAAGTGTTGAAAAGATGTTGCACAATGAAAAGTGACTGGTTAGAATTTGTTTAGAAGGGAAAGAATATTTTGGACTACATATTCTTTTCTAAATAGAGAGATAGAAATTGTGAGAAAATTATTTTTAACACATGAATAAGGAACATGGGAAAACTTTTGTGGGATGGAGGGAGTATTTAATATATCCAAATGCCATATGTTTTGCTGCCACACCAAGGCAAAAAACTAAATTTGAGTTTTTCCACTGGCGTTGTGAGTCGTTAGTCTCAATTCTCAATTAAGAAACCAAATTGGTTTCTTCTTTCCTTTTCAAACAAGGTAAACATTGAATCCTTTTCCTTTTCTCTTTCTTTCTTTTACTTCACCTTTTTAATTAATTGAATCAATATCTCAACAACGAGCAATGTTCTAAACCAGAAATATCGTTTTACGTGGGTACAAGTTCTTTGATCAATCAAAAGAACGGGCCAAAAACACAATTTCACCAAAACAGCATCTAGTAATAGAGCATTAACAATTATTGATTTCTATTACCTCCGTCTCAGAGTTTTCGTCTAGTTTGACTTACTCAAGTCAACTCAAACAATCTTCGATCATCAATTAAACGTATAACTTATATCGCATATTTGTTGGAATATTGGAATGATAATATTGCAATTATGGAGTACATGGTAGAGTATATATAGGAAGAGAGTCCTAACACAACTAGAAATAGAGAATGAAAACTAACTAAAATGCAACATCTACCATAAATAGGAATAGGAAGCTAACTAAAAATCAAACACTACCATAAATAATAATAATAATAATAATAATAATAATAATAATAATAATAATAATACCATTATTATAGTCTAACATCCCCCCCTCAAGCTGAGTTTGGCTGAAGCAAGAGGAAGCTTGAACACTAGCTAGAAACTGGAAACCTTGAGAATAGAGAAGTCTGGCTGCTGACGTCGAAGAAGAATAGAAAAGTCTGACGTGCACAAGAGCTGCTAGCGTCGGAGAAGAAGAGAAGGGAATCAGAAGTGCCTGTTTTACTGAAGATACCTGACATTAGTTTTCTTTTTCTTGGATCCGTCCATCCGGGCAATGCCCTATTTCTTCTCTCAATTGTGAGAATCTTTTATGACTTCCTTTGAAGGGTTAGGTTATTGGATGGTATTTCTTCCTCCTTATCTATTTCCCCTCGTGGTTTTGCTTTTGTTTTGATTTGCTTTGGGTATTTATTTGTTCTACAAAAGAAAAATATAAGGGAGATTGACGATTAAGAATGAGTGATTTGAGTGAAAAAAGTAGATTATGAGTGGGTGGTAGAGAAGAAGATCCAGTGGTGAGAGATTCTGATCTTGCAAAAAGAGAGTTGCCTAACCATCAATAAGAGGATTGACTAGACTTTATGGCAACAATTGGATTGACATGGATGCATAGTTATTTAAGGCGCAATGCGCACCGATGCACAAAGGGGCTCTAGCGCCTTGATGCGCGCGCATCACGAACACAATGCGCACATTAATGCATAAGTAGCATAGCATCTCTAAAATAGTAATAGTACATATCAAGTGTTGAAAAGCATACAAAAACTTTAGAAAGCAACCAAGAATCAAAGTATAGACTTCATGAATTTAATAACAAATTAGGCAAATGGTGTCATTCCTATTTGTTTTTGTGACCCTCGAAACATACTCCATTTCGGGATCATTAGAACCCAAAATTTATAGATTCTTACATTCTTGAAACTTGAAAGAGTGTACAAAATATTAGTACAAAAAGGTAAAAAGGGGGAAACCTCACAAAAAAACTGAAAATATTTCGAAAACAAATAATAAAAGGAGGGACTAACTTAGTAACCTTATTCTCAAATCTCAAATACTAGTATACTACATTAATTTTTATTCTCAAACATGACAAATAAATATTAAATTTAGTTTCAAAGCAAAATTGCAAGATAAATAAAAAACTGAAATAAAAAAAAGCTCAGTTCAATATTAACTCAATTCTCAAATATCTTACTACATCAGTTTTTTTCACAAATGTCAAACGCATAAAAAAATCAAAAGCAATTGAAGTTAAAAATAAAAAATAATTAAATAAATTAATAAGTAAATAAAGAGAGGGTACGGATCTGGACCGTGACTTCAACGCAGTCCAAGTCAACAAATGATAGAGTTCTAGGGTTTTTTTAAATAAATGAAATCCGGGTCAGTCTTATCGGGTCAGGTCCTGAAAAAAACATCGTCTACTTCGACCAATGGTCGATTACTCTAGGACTGGACGACAGCTCCCCATAGGCAACACCTTTCCGACGGAAACCAATTGTCACTAATTGATAAAAAATTAAAAAACAAATTAAAGATCTGTACGTGATGTGCTTCCTGTAGTGCCTCGGATCGCACCGCATAATGAGATGATAAACAGTACGTGATGCATCACAAAGCTTGATGCACATACCCCGGCGCTTCATGCGCATCGCACCTCATGCGCGCTTTTCACAACTATGCCTGGATGGCGTGGTGAATTTGAGAAAGAGAGATGGCTGAAGAGAGAATGCCGGAGAGATGCCCTGACGCCGAGAAAGAGGAGTTGCAGCGGACAACTCCTGCTCAACTAATGATTTACCTCACACAAATCTGATTTTCAGAGGAGAATGAGAATGACAATAGTCTTGCACATTTGAGTATATTACTTTGGACCACTCACACGCCGATCCAGTATATTCCTTATGAAAGGAATTGACAATCTGAAATAGATTGATGGTCAGCAGCAGTGGCGAGTTCCGTCGGCCGGCGGCGCTGCAGCTGCGAAGTGGTCTGAAGGGAGATCCAGTGGGGGTTGCTGCGATGTTGAGAGCCCGCGGAGAAGAATCAGCGGTTGGAGATGCAACCGATGCACAAGCCAAAGCGGGAACTGCCTGTCGTGTTGGTGATGACACCGGAGTCAGGATCTTGCCGGTGATGCGACTGGAGACACAAATCTGGCCATGAGTGCAACCCAAATTCGAAGAAAGAGTTTTTTGGTTGACTTACAGCCGATCCATGACTGCGTCCCTATAGGGGGTTTACATATTTTTTTTTGATTGAGGAAGAATTTAGAACGCAAGAACAAGGAAGAACAAATGCCCGGCGGACGGCTAATGGTGGTGCCGCCAGCCAGGAGCTAAGGCAGAGAATTTTAGGTCACCAAGAGCAGTGGCTTCGATACCATGTTGGAATATTGGAATAATAATAATAATATAATATTGCTCATTGAATTATGGAGTACATGGTAGAGTGTATATAGGAAGAGAGCCTAACACAACTAGAAATAGCGAATGGAAACTAACTAAAATACATCTACCATAAATAGGAATAGGAAGCTGACTAATTATAAAAAAAATATCATAAATAATAATAATAATAATATTATTATTGTCTAAGAATATGAGTACAAAAATATTTTCATTATATTTATCTTGCTTAAGACTTTCAAAAAAAACATTTCATTGTAATAATACGCAATGCAAATTTAATGTAATTAATGGTTAAGTTTTTCCTGTTTGACTAAAAAAATCAAACTAGACGAATACTCTTGGACGGAGAGTAAAAATTGCCACATAAGTGGATTTTATCCTTGATTAACCACTCTGGTTTTCAAACATATAAGCCAAAGCACATGGCATACTAGAGCTAAGCCAAATGCTCGAGGAGAAAAGAAAAATATGAGTATGACATAAAGAATTCAGCAAGTCACAAGTATTTCTTTAAAATCATAAAATATATTGTAACATCAATCAGCTAGGGCATCTTATCACAAAGAAATATCTTGAGACAGTACCTGTAATGACATGAAGAATAGATGGTCGCTGTTTGGAAGCTTGTTGTAGCCTCTTTGTTGAACTTTCAGCATCAAAACCATTCGAGTGCAAAAGATACAAAGTGGATTCCATCTCACCGTTTACTCCTCTTTGAAATACTGAATGATTGACTGAAACTTGGGATTCAATCTTTTTCAAGTGTTCTTGCAAGGCTGCAACTGCTTCGGTCGAATGAAGACCGTGCAAGTCAAGAGTCCACTCATCATTTTTACTGTTCTGGACTCTTAGAATTTCCTTTGCTGCCTTTGTATTCAACTCCCCGGCAGCTAACCATTCCTCTTGAGCTTTCACTGAAAAA